TGGCGGTTGAGATCCTAGTGTGCAAGTCCTGAAGCATCTGTAAATAGCGTGCACGTAGAATGGAATTTTCACATTTGATTTTGATTTAATTTGATTGAAAACGATGGGTCGTACGAAAAACGTTTACTTTATATTTTCGAAAAATATATCTTTTCCACCTTCCTGGAATCACCTTCTTCTCGACCGACGATTATTATTGGATGAATATAAAACTTACCTGGACGTATTTTTGCATGTGAAGAGGCACAACAGCACCGGTTTCTCTCTGTGGGAACGGAAGCCCATTGCGGAATTGCATGGTGGGATAGTATCCAGTTACTATGGGGTGGTTTACGCTCACGTAACTAATTTCACCCATGTCGTTACACAGTCTCTCGAGGTAGTATCTGAAAACATGAATTTTAAATAGTAGCCATTAGAAGCGATGTTAATTAGTACTATTTTAAATTTCTATAAAGTAAATGTACATTCGCATGAATGGACGTCTTCTTACAAATAAATTATTCTGTTACATTTTTATACGAAGGAAACCATATCTTGTAAAAGAAATTGTTTTTCCAAAATTTATACAAATTACTATATTATTCATGTCGTAGGAAAGTGTCAAGACTCGTGTTTCTATTTGAAGTAAATTGAACGCGTAATCGAGCAATTCTTAACATACCTGGTCAACAATTGCTTGTGGCTGAAGAAATAATATTCACCACGGATTTGTGGGGTGTGAAGCATCTTGGAAGACATGAAAGATGGGAAATCGTGGTTGATCATGAAGTAGAAGCTGTTCAGGCCAACGTCTTCGGTAAAATAGTTCAATTTCTGTTCGGGTACATTGTGCCTCGTCAAATACCATCCGCTGTAGTTGGCCAAAAGTACGTATTGGTCGACATTGCCCACGGTTTTCTTTTCGTCAACTGTTCAAGTTCAAACAAAAACGTTGCGTAGCAAACAAAACAAGTTTCTAATATTTCAAGAGCATGTTCAACGTAAGATTCAAAATTCAAAAATCATGCATATGAATAACAACTGTTCCATATTCGGCTCAGACTTGAGCTATCTTTTAATGTTAAAAGAATACGCTTGGGTCAAGAACAATCGAAAGAACGAAGCGGGCTTGAAAAAGAAGAAAAGATTATTAACATAGCCAACCTGTGCTGCCCATGGCGATATCGTAAGTTCTTTGCATGACATCGTCGTTGAAGAAAAAGTGTGGAAGCACTTCGTACAATGGCGGCAACTTGATCAATTTGGTGTCATGACGATGGATCACAGCCACGCTTAAAGCGTACGTGTACATTAGCTCGTTTACGTAGAATCTAGCCCAGACAGCGGTGTTATAGAACACGTCGAAGGTTTTGGCACTGTACAAAACACGGAAAAGCGTCACAGCTTGGTGGTGCATCTCAGGGTTCATCACGGTGAACACTTGTCCACGTGGTAGCATTCCATGTTTCAAGAGCTGAATGAACTCCGTCACTGCTTCCTATTATATTATCAATTATATGTTAATCGTTAGCAGCGAGAAGATAATTCTTCCAATTAATAGACCGCAGATTTTAATATTTGCTAGTTGAATACCGAACATAAGACTCGATTTTCTGCTTTCGCTGCGTTCAGTTAATAATACTTCTATGCGAAAAGAGTTCTTGAAAATGGAAAGAAACAATTTCTTTCCTTTAAAAAGATTTGCGTTTCAATATATGAGAAAAAAAATGCGTTCAACGCTACAGAAATTATTCTAGATGCTGTAAAACAATATATATTTGCAAGCATATCTATTTGGTCCGCAGTCTACTCGTTACTAATGAAATTTGTAAATGTACAAGGTATATGAACATAAATTGTCGTGCAAAATTTAAAGATATAACGATACGCAACTCATCTGCATCAGAATATTCGTTGTAATTTTTAACATGCAAGACGAATCTCTATTTCTTGAATCCTATTCATAAGGGCATAAGTTTGTATAAAAATCTGCAGTCTATTCACGAGTCAGCCGTATATCCTACCTGGTCGTTGTATTGGACGACGTTCTCCGCGATGTTGAAGGTGCGAGCCTTCTGGTAGAGTTCAGGATGGTATACAGTGGGTTGGTCGACGTGCCAAAACAGTTCGTAGATGTTCTTCTGCTTGGTCAGATAAGTAGCGTCAGCGACCTGGCTGGGCAGTTGGTGCACTGCCTGGGCCAGCAAGCAGAAACTGGCGAAAATTACTAAAGCGGCCTTCATCGTTGAACAGCAGTTGGAGGAGACCGGTCCGGTGATCAGTTTATATACCGGACTCAAAATGTTTGGACTTCGATAAACAAATCTATAATCTGTATCGGGGTCGAATTAGGGTGAGGTCGCGAGGGTAGTGAAAGTAAACGACTTATCACGCGTTCGGTTTCGTGTCGCAATTGCTGATAAAGGCAAAGGATGCAATTTGGCTGATTCGATCGGTATATCGGTAGAGTTTCGCAATTAAACAAAAAACTACGGTTCGTTGTGAATTTGAAATTTGGTAAATAGCTGTGGTTAATTTTTAGTTGATGCAGTGGCAGATGAAAGAATGGATAGACTATGAATTTCAGTAACTTTTCTGTTAAAAATTTCTACTAAAAATTGCTTACCATGTTTATAACAGCTGTCTATTCGACGCTACATATTATTTATACGTTTATTCGTTGCTCTTATTAGACATAAGTCCATTTTGCAAAATTATGCTGTCTTTTCATACTTCTTAGCCTGCAAACTTTCCTTTGTCTGCCACTGTAGGAGGAAGGATCTAGTGTAAATACTTTAATCGCGTTCATGTTCGCTAACGGTTATAGTGCTATAGACGAATTGTTCGTTCGGATATCCTCGTATTTAAGTATTTAGATGTTCTTCGATTCTATTAAGGATATAGTATCAAGTTTTCTAATAAATTTAACTACGGGATATGACAAATGCATGGATAAATATTGTCCTGTCAAACTGAAACCTGAAGAATACATCAAACCAATAATTAAGTTAATAATTAACCAATAATTTTAATAATTAAAAATTAAGAAACTATTTTTTCTAGAAAGAACACGATTACATAAAAATCAGTCTCGGGTTGAAATAAACAACCATTTTTATCGAATATTATCGCAGTCGAGATTGATTCGAGGACCTACGTTAACAAAATATTTTCTGCTCGTTTCTACAAACATTACGTCCACCTAATCGCCCAGCAAACGTTCCGAATCATTTTTTGCACGATAACGATTCGATTTTAATTACACAATTTACAATTAACGAGAATTTTGATTTAAGAATTTTTCGTTCTTCTAGTCGGCTTTAGACGTTTTTCATTAAAATAACGATGACAAATAAACAAGAAAAGTAATTGCTTGGATAGAAAATAATAGATAAAAATATTTGAAAATATAGATTCATTACACAGGTATTTAATCATTTCGGATAACAATAGGAAATAAAGATTAATTTTCTTCCAAATAGCCTAACAATAACAATTTCGTTAAATAAAGAAATTGAAAGGAAAGTATAAACGTTAGTGTATTATAAAAGTAAACACTGTTCGATAAAAGAAAAACCATTAAAAAAGGAGGCTGCGTGAGATCACGTTGAAGATCATTTGGAAGTTATCATGTTTTTGCATAATATTTAAAACAGCTTCTTATTACGTTATATCATAATCGAGTTTAGTGACCTATGACACGGTGATGTCAGAGAAATCCTTTCTTATAATATACCTATCACATATTTTCTACTTTTGGCATTTCTTTCGTATATTTCTAGTACATATGCGTATAATATATATATATATATATATATACAGGATGATTGGTAACTGGTGGTACAAGCGGAAAGGGGGTGATTCTAGGCGAAAAAAGAAGTCGAAAATATAGAATACAAATTTTTCGTTCGAGGCTTTGTTTTCGAGAAAATCGACTTTGAATTTTCGCTCGGTACGCGTCGTACTTTATCGCGTCTCGTTATAACGGATCTCACTGTAGATCGTTGTCTCACCAGTTACCAACCACCCTGTATATATACATATATGTTTTCCTATCACTATTACTCTCAAGTAATGTCTACTCTTTGTAATAGTCTGTAAATTAACGATAAGTTTATATATATAGTTTGTATATAATTACAAGCAGCATTTGCTACCTTCTCTGCGGCATTGACAGATTGTAAATTTAAATTATCCGCTAATTAGCTGTCTTAGATCGGTTTGCGAGTGGCTTGGCGAATGATAGAGCGAGAACCGATACCACGGCGCTGTTAAAAATCGTAGAAGCGAATGAACTTTCTGTGTGTCGAATGTGAACGAACTTCTTACATGTTAAGTTGCGTCTGAAGTATGTTTAAGATACGTTAAGTTTATAGTGCAAGACTATGCGTGAGACATTGTTATAAAAGATGGTCCAGCTAAATGATATCGAAGTGACGAATATCTTATTTATTTTGTGGCGCGAAAAAGGTTCTCGAAACGAAATTCACGTTATTCAAAGTGAATTTCGCTATTTCTTCGCGGTAACTTTTTTACGAAATTCGAGGGTCGTGGATATTTTATTAAATGAAACTCTATTTTTCCACCAATTGTGCGATAAGAACTATTCACAATGTGAATTAAACTGCTAATACGTTGCGATAGCTATGTGAGCAAAATCTAAGAAAAGCAGTTTCGCCTGGATTTTAGCCATATGCAGTTATCTATCTATTAATTAATATCGTATATAATTTATGGATCTATAGATTTTAAAGTAGTAAAAACGCGATAACGTCGTAACAAGTTATGAATCCTAATATTTTATCGACAGGAGACGCGAATTCGCGTCTTACATACTTGATACTCTATCCTATAAAAACGTTAACTACTGTTGAATAAAACAGTAAAGAGAGCAATGAATGGTATACATAAAATGTTACGAATGTGATTTTACATTACATACTTGAATAATACGAAACTGTTATCAATATATTAGATATAATACTGGAAAGTTCGTTTCGATTTTTAAGGAATTTAATAAAATAATAAATTCTAAGTCCTTGAGCATATCGCACTAAAAAACGTTACTAAAAGTATCTTTAAACATGCTCATTGATTTTTAATAAAATATTACATTCGTCAAATGCTGGTGGGAAGTTGATTGGAATTTTTAAGAAATTTCGTCGACACGAAAAATCACATTGCAAAATTTTTCGCCAAGAAACCTGGAACGTTCTTGAAACAAAGTATCAGTTATGTAATTCAGTAAATGTATATCGAATCGAAGTGTAAATCAGAACGAACATTCCGAGCGACATTTTCAATTTTTTCGATGACTCAAAAAATACAATTTGGAGTGTTGGTTTTTTCGCCTTCAAAGTGTTCAGAATCTTGTATAATAGTTTTCGGCGTGCTCGTATGTACAACGTCTGGGCTTCTTAATGACAGGGATAGCGAACGTAAGAGAAATAAATGAAACAAAGGGAATCTTGCGTAGCTGGTCGAAATGCAAATTCCCATAAATGCGTATTCCCTGCGATCGCAAGTATAAAAATAATAATTTGCAATGTTGAAAAATATTGCATCATTCGTTTTATGTATTACGTTGAGTTAGGAGTAGATCTAGAGCAGTTTCAGTTTGTTGTTTGCAGAGTGAACGTTATAATTGTTGACTTTGTGCCAGCGGCGAAATAAGAGTAAAACTTAAGAGTCCGGAAACCGACTTATTCTTAAAGGATAAGTAGGTTTGAAAAGCATCAGGATCAGGATGTAAAAACGAATGTTTAAACCGCTATGGTTCTTAAGTTTGGGTGTTGTGAAATTTCTTGAGTGTTAGGCTGTTCCAATAGTTTCTTTCGTTTTACAAGGAAATAATAGATGCACAACATTTTTATTTGTAGCAATAGAATAAAATGGATCGTACGGAATTCAATAAAATAATATAAAACAAAAAATGTTATGCATCTGTTATTTCCTCATAAAATGAAAGAAACTTTTCGGACAAGCTAATAGATCGGTAAAATGTTAAAGTTATGTGTATTCGTAGGAAGAGGTGATGAAAGTGCGTTGAAAGTGCGTTCTATGTCTGTGCTTGGAGACAGAAGATTGAAAATGATAGCAGACGCGGCGAACACGATGCGGATGTTGGAGAGAAAAAAAGTGCGAAGATGTGATTCGCGAACTTATTGGCTGATCAAAGTACGTATACAGTGGCTCATGAAAGTACTCGAGCACACACACACACACACATATAGACTACAAACTTTATATGTATACATATATTATCCAGAAACATTAAAATTAAAGTTCATTAGCACCGTATCACGAGAGGCGACTACGTGATTATATTGATAAAACTTGAAAGGCATCTGAAAATGTATGTAAAAGTTACGAGATATTTACTGGAAGCATATTTCTCTCAAAGATATCCATATAGTATTTGAATGGAAAATTATTCGCTATATTAAGGGGAGGGGGCTAAGGTTAATTCGTACAAAAATAAGGCGCGTTTTTGTGAATTATTTGTGACGACACAGTTAAAATCTCTTTATTAAAACGAATAGTAGATTAAAGTATGACATTCGAAGAATATTGTATAAAATTTTCACGGAGAAATATTAAAAAATACGGCAATGACAGCAATTATTTGGACGTGTCTCGGAAAAAAGGTAGAATTGCGGTGCCCCTGATAACTTGATGCTGGATCATCTGAAATCAAAAAATCAGAGTTCATTCGTTAGGTAGCGGTTTTCCCCGGGTAACGCTGGAAGGGTTTTTCGAAATTTCAATTTCTCACTTTTTTGGAACACTTTTTTGGAAACTTTCGCAAAATCGGCTAATTTTCCCTTCAAAGTGTTCCAAAAAAGTGAAAAATTGAAATTTCGAAAAACCCTCCCAGTGTTACCTGGGGAAAACTGTTATCTAACAAATGAACTTTGATTTTTTGATTTCAGATGATCCAGCACCCAGTTATCAGGGGCACCGCAATTCTCCTTTGTTTCCGAGACACGTCGAAATAATCGCTGCTATTGCCGTATTTTTTAATATTTCTCCGTGAAAATTTTATACAATATTCTTCGAATGTCATACTTTAATCTACTATTCGTTTTAATAAAGAGATTTTAACTGTGTCGTCACAAATAATTCACAAAAACGCGCCTTATTTTTGTACGAATTAACCTTAGCCCCCCGCCTTATTTTTGTACGAATTAACCTTAGGTACGAATTAACCTTAGCCCCCCCTTAATAAGCCACGATATTCAGCGAGGCACTAGTTGTATGTTTCAAACTATTATTCATGTTGTATGCTAATTTTCCTCCAGGTATTTGCGATAAATGTCTCGTAACTTTCACGTTTATTTACGAATTGGTTTCAAATTTTATTATTACATCTAATCACGATAGTTGTGCCTCATTGCAGGACTAACGAAATTTCAAAAAGTCCCCTTTAATGCACGTAACACAACACACAAATTTTTTGCGTAGGTGTTCGAATATTTTCATCGAGACCAATCCAAGATTCATGGAGCTGGAAAGCTACTAATAAAATGTATGCAATAATTGATTCATTGTACTTACCAGATATTCGATCTTCGACTATAATTCGTATAAATCTTGTATTTTCTATTGTTGTTCCCAGTTGTTCCACGTTTGTTCTACGTTGTTCCAAAGCAAATAATGATTTATTTCAAAAGATCTTGGAAGCAACCGCAAAAGGTTGCACTGTTGACCCGCCCTGCATTTCTTAAAAATCGAACGTATTTTACATATTTTACATTAGAAGATGTCCCTCAACGTGTTCAATGGTTTTAGCTGTTCTAGACATTGTTCCAAAATATCGTTTCAATATCGTACTTAGTTTAGGAAAAAATTAGCCAACGCTAACATCCGTAACACAATGGATATTTCTCTTTATTTTAACAACAGTAATGTACAGGCAAAGGGTTCTTCTTTTGGAACACGTACTTACATCCCTAGAACAACTCGGAATAAAAATTTGAACACCGTAACACAAACACAATGCTGACTTTACTCTCGCCTCGACAACTTCCATTCTCGGGAAAGTTGATAAAACGTCGTCAACGAGGGCTGAAACATTTCGTCGACTGAAACTGTCGTTGAAATTGAATTCTTCCAACAAAAGGAAAATTATACAGAATCGTAGACGGTAAACGGGATTGCTGTAAATCTTACTTGAACTATTGTCGTACTTGTAGCTATTTAAGAACGATAGCCGAGAAAAATAACTTTGAGCGAATGGAAGATTTATAGGTACTCGTAAAGTTCCAAACTTGTTCGACCAGTGTTTAAATTCTACTTAACACTTTACCGACCGATAGCCGATTAATCGGTTTTCCGTCACCGACGCTTACCAACCGATAGCCTATTAATCGGCTTTTCGCCGCCAACGATCTTTCTCGTTATTTGAGCAGTAATTTGTTATTTAGTACTAAGGTACCTTGCTCGGTTGCGTCAGTTGCGTTGCTTTGAAAGCTCCCACAGTTTTATATTAATTTGAAAAACGTACCGTTCGCAATGAACAAAAAGAATGATATTGGAGAATCTAAACCGAAACAGAGCCGGCGCTAGGGAGAATCTGCGCCTGAGATGCCGGTCGGACGTGCGTATGCTGTTGAATCGTTAGCGGTCGGTAAAGTGTTAAGAATACCTTCTTTATCTGCAAGTATCCGTATAGGGTTCGGATATGTCGCGTTTAGCTTTTGCTGGAGGTTTCGAATTCATTCGATGAACGTTCGAACCTGTTTGCGACTACTTGAGGACATCGTTAACGATCACGCTAATACAAGAAACGAACACATGAATATATAACGTACGAGGTGACCGATAAAGTTAGAAGGCATAACACTAAAGAATTATTTGATTAATTTTGGAATGATCTTATGAAGAAAGCTGTTGATACAACGTGTATAATAGAAGGCCAATACGTAAACAGAAATATAACACAAAAGTTCGTTTCATTCAGAATTCTTTATTCGAAGAATCTTTTGCAAGATCGTTAACAATCGATAAAGGGAAAACACTGTTTATAAAAATCTCATCGGTTTAGTAATTCATCCTTTCTTTTTCGTAAGGACGATTGTAAATGTACACGTCCTTGAAGAACATGTTAGGAATAGTGTAGTTCCATGCGAACATGGGTCTGTCCAATGGGAATCCGAATGGCATGTTGTCGAACATCATTTTCCCATACAGAGGCATTTCGTACGAGTTCATGCTGTTTTCTTCCAACGAGCTCAGGAAGAAGAACATCTTGTACCTTAAACCTTCTGGTTTACCACGTGGCAGAGTGAAGCGTTCTGGGAAACCGAACATCCTTTCGGAGTACGTGAACGGCTCGCTTCCACTGATTGCCTTGTTCAGTTTGTCGTAGTATATGTCACTTGACATCATGCCAGGTGCAGTGTTGAGGGACTCCGAGCTGTGACGTTCGATGCTGTTGCTTCCAGAATGGACTGTGAGAGTAAACAGAAGGCTCGATTGAACATCGATCTTTAATTTTCTAATAGTAATAATAATAATAATGAAGGTAGAAAACAGCTTGTTTCATCGCGAGCTGTCTTCTCGCATCGATCAAGAACTAAAGAGGTTCTTTAAGCTTGATTGATCAAGTTAGCTGTTTTTGACGAGTATACTCGTCATGAAGAAATTGCAATATTTTGTGTTACGACGAGTCCTACCAGTAACAAAATTAAAAAATTTCGTTACAACTTGATTCTATATCGTGACAGCCACGCAGACTCTGTGTTGGACGAGTATACTCGTCATCGCTTACTTTTTGCGATACGTTTGTGGCGGATCGGTATCAATAGGACGCCGACAGGTCGAGGCATCAACGCGGATACCAACCGCCAACACCAGAGGTCTACGACGACAACGAGTCTATCTCGCTAGCGGTCGAATATACGGGCGAATGATACAAATACCGCACCTAGAGAGACTCTCTCTATGTGTAAGACAGGGACTACCAGGCATAACCTTACTGACGAGTCCAGCGATAGTCGCGGGACGAAACGCAAACCTCTCTTTTCATCTGGCAGCGATTCATCCACGACACGTTTTAGGCTCACGCTTTCCAAAAAGAGGTCGCAACAGCTAACTGGTTAACACTAACATTACCAAGCCCGGTCAAATGACCGGTTTCAAAATTTAATTTAAAATTGTACATTCGTCGTTATTTCCTTTGTTCATCTAACTTTCTGCAAGTTCTTACATTAACGAAAATCGAGAAATTGATTAACCAGATAATATAAAGAATTTACATAAAGTTAGAAGAAGAAAAGAGAAGTAACGATGAATGTACGACTTTAAATAAATTTTGAAATTTGGCCGGGACTGATAAGATTAGCGTTAAATAGCATATTGGATAATATATTATTCGTACGGAGAATAATAAAGAAAAATAAACAAGATACTAACGGTTCACGGCGAATCTGTCCATTTCCACGAAGTAGTAATGGTACTTCTGTAAGTAGATCATATCCTGTTGCACCTCGTCGAAGGCTGGTCCAAGGAAGATTCTCAGCATTCCCTTCATTTCTTTGTCAGAATTGATGTTGATTTTGTAGGTGAACGGCTGGTAGTTGAGGCAAGCGCGTCGTGCCTTCAGACGAAGGTACATTCCACTCTTGAAGCTATCCACTGATACTGCATTGCTGATCAGAGTGTCGCAGGTGTCGAAGTACGTGTTCAGTTTGTCGATATTCACGGATTCGAATTTCACACCTGGCACTTGCAGTTCGCTCTGAGAGTACTGAGGCTGGAATTTCTTGTATCTGCGCGAACATAACGCGTAACAATTAGTAAGAGGTAGAAAATACATGAAACTTTTCAAATTATTGTAACGAGTAGTTGAGATTAATTGTAATTGCAGATATTCGTGCGTATAGATTATTATTATCTAATAAGACGTATTTGAACCGAATCTTACGAAAGATACTGATAAATTGATTGAAAAGTTTGTTGCAGGATAGCAAAATTTAGCTCTTCGTCGAGACTTCTGCTTGTAACGATACGAGTACGTTAATAACGATCTGATGTCGTTCACATATCTTTCTGACATCTTCTAAACAGCCAACATACCTGAAGAAGTAAGTCATGATCTTTTTGTAAAGCATATAGAATGCCGGATCTCTCATGCTGGTACAGTAGGATTGCAGGACGCTGGGGATCACCTTGTTCTTGTTGTAGAAGTCGAAGTTGAAGCCAAGGATGTCGCGTGCAAGTGCGTCGTACATGCCGTAGAATCTGGTGTTACAAGAGTCTACATTCCCTTCTATCACGTTGCCGAGTATGTTCAAACCTTCCGATGTGTAGATGTCTACCTTCTTTCCATATTGGTCTATCAGATAGCCAGAGTCGATGGCGTCCATTATACGCAACTCCAGGGCATTGATTTCCTGGAGAATCGAACGTGCACTTTGAATTTTCATTTTACTCTTCGTACCAGACATCACGATCGTTATTTTTGGAAGATTCAACGTATACTTTGAATTTTCTTCTTTGTTACTTATATCGGCCGTTGTTGGCATGTTTTGCCCCTGCTAATGATTCTTGCAAAGTAATTAATTTGCCTTTTATCGACGATGGCTTTGCGAATTATATTATTGAAATTTTTTCAGTTTAAACTGAAGGTTGTCAGGTTTTAAGTAAGTACTAGCTGTTTTTCTTGTAATTAACTTAGTCCTAAAGAAGCAAACTTTTAAGCTTGTTGTTATTGAGATAAAATGTAATACTCACCTTAAGATACTTGTATTTATAATAGGGTAGAGCCGAATATCTGTCTCTTTGTGGGAAAGGTATGCCATTGGGGTACATCATCGTGGAGAAGTATCCAGGGTAGATTGACTTGTTCCAGTCGAAGTCCTCTATTTTACCAAGGTCGTTTGACATTCGTTCAAGGAAGTACCTAGCCAATAACTGCTGGTGGATGAAATAATAAAATTGTCCACGTATCTCTTTAGGCATGTTGTATTTGCTGCTGGACATCCAGAAGGGGAATATCTGTCGGATGTAGTAGTAATACGCGTTCATTCCGATATCCTCCATGAAGTAGTCGAGTTTATATTCGTCGTCCATGTATGGCATCATGTAACTGCTCGAGTAGTTGGCGGTCACTACGTAAGTTTCGATGTTGCCCATTCCGGCACCAGTTCCTGAAAGAAGAAGGTTGACTTTATTTATTTCAAATCGAAGGATGGGGACTTTTCCAAGACTTTCCGCTATTAGAATCTTTATAAAAAATGTCCTTTGTTCCCTGTTCTATATTTTGTAGATTCTCGTTTAGGAGAAAACAGGGTCTGAATATGTTATTTGAAAAATAGATTGCTTCTCACGTATTAGACGAATCATTTGAAATTCAATTTCAGATTGCTATTGTGGCGGATCGGTATCAACAGGACGCCGACAGGTCGAGGCATCAACGGGGCGCAACACCTCCCGGGCGATCCGCTGGTACCAACCGCCAACACTAGAGGGCTACGAGTCTGTCTAACTCGCTAGCGGTCGAATATACGAGCGATTGATACAAATACCACACATAGCGAGATTCCCTCTACGTCTAAGGCAGGGACTCCTGGGACTACTAACGAGTCCACCGGTAGTCCCGGGACGAAACGCACGACTCTCTTTTCATCCGCCACGCTATTTTCAACTATTCTATCTAACATACTCTATATGTAACTAGTAATATGTAACATTTACTCTATAACTATACTGTAAAATAGAAAGGTATAGCTACCTTGAGACATCTTCAAGTACTGTGCTTCTTGTATCACGCTTGAATCGAAGAAATAGTTAGGGTAGATCTCGTAGATGGCTGGCAGTCTCATGTATTTGCAGTCGCTTCTGTAGAACACGGCAACGGAGAACGCCGTAGTGAACATGTCGCTGTTCATGTGAAGTCGGGCCCAACAAGCAGTTTTGTAGAACGTTTGGAAGTCCTTGGCGTTGTAGAACAACTCGAACAGCATTCTCATTTCGTACATGTGCTCGGTGTTGAATGGTGTGAAGATGGCATCACGGACAAGGAACATTCCTTGCTTGTACCACCAAAAGAACTTTTGTACGACATTCTGAAACAAGTAGATGCAAGACATATATAATGTTCAAAAATTAGGATATATTGTAACAACAATTATTACTACGATACGTCCATCATAGTAGAAATTAACGCATCATGATCGATTGTTATTTTAATCGAATGTTGTTAAATTATAATGGTTAAACATCGATTCGATGAAATGGTAACAGGTGTATAACTCATCGAATAATTATAGCTACGGTCATGAAACCGTGAACATGGAGAATCACCTTGTCTTTGTACATGTCCATATTTGTTTCCACGTTGTAGTTCCTTCCTATGTCATACCATTCAGCATCGCTTAGGTCTGCCTGTCTAACGTACAGCAACAGATCGAAGATCTTCTTCTGCTTATGGAGGAAGTCCATGTCGGCGGTGCGACTTCCGGAGAACGATGTGCTCTGCGCTACGCAAATAGCGACTAGCGCCGCTAACAAAGTCAACTTGAACATCCCCGCGATGAAAATTCGGCTACACCCTGGATTCAGTTGGTCGCTGTGTACCGGTTGACGATCCACCGCGTGCTTTTATACTTATTCGGAATACAATAATCACGCTGAACCTCTGACCCACATCATGCTCACGGAGATACTGTGTGTCATCAATATTCCTGTATATTTGTACGGTTGATTATTAACGGGCACATCCGTCGAAAGGAAAAGATTCGACATAGGATTGTGCGCCAATACGATTTCCATACGTTTGAAACTGGCACGTGCAATCGTATAGCGATCAGTTTACGTCTACTTGAAATATTTCGATTCCTAGTAGGATACAGTCGATTATCTTCGTATTTTATTTCTGGGAAAAATTTTGTAATCTCGAGATGCACGGAGTTAATCTTGTTGCGATCTTTAAGCTTCTAGCAATACGTTACAAATATTCTTGTTAATTTTCTATGAAATTCATTATTATTGATTATTATTACGTATTTATACGATGCATTATTTATGTTACTTATTTTATTACTTGTTTCTAGTGGCTGATTTAAACCTGTGGCAGCCTGAAGTCATCGTACCGATCACGTCGATCATAATCGATGTTTAAACCAATAGAAGATCAATATTTAAAGATCCTTGGCTAATCTATCAAATTTTAATATTCACCTAGACGGTGAATATCAATTTCACGAGTAGTAATTAAAATACTCGCGATGCAATGACCAATTGAAAACTGCCTTCGACACTCCCCTGGTAAGCGTGTCTCGTTGCAGGATCTAATTATATTTCACGCATTTAAAAAAACGCAAGAATCGTCCGAAGAATGTTTCAGAATGAGCCCATTGAATATTCAATTGACGTTTCGAATATTCTAATGACTTGATGTTGATTCAACGAACATCGTTTGGCCAAGCTAGAACTTTATCCCAGTTTGTGTATATATGTATTTTATGTAATCCTGATAGTCGTTTAGTAATCTAAAAAGATGACAAACACTTTTGGGAGCCTCGTTATAGTATTATTAGAGTCAAGGTAAATACATTTATTTCTTATTATTATTCGTTATGTATTCCTGTCTACTTTTTAATTAAGCATTGTTAATGGAAACAGCTATTAATCATCTGTGTTCTACTTTCTGTTCCTTTCTAATTTAACGTTTCAGTCACTCTATTGTGAATTTTTCAGACTGCCCCACTACGTTAGCTAACGTAAAGAGAGTTATTTGAATGGAAAATTCTTCTATGATCTGGCAGCGAGTATGTTCCTCCATGTATGTTTAACATTATATCCTTCTCTTCGTTGATCAATAAACGCTTCGAAATTGAAGTATAAATTTATAATCAAATCATTCGAACGTATATTATATAATTCACGATATTTAATGAATAAATAATTTTTTCTTTCTTTCGTTATTTGCAGCTACATCAATGAAGCAATATTACGATTATTAGGGCGTTTTACTTAATTCAGTAATTCTTATATTGATCCGCAATCTCTTAAATTATTCTCTATGCTGGCTTTTATACTGAATTATTTTCTATACGCAGAATATATCTCTGTCGTTTCTTAAATCGAGGTATGAATTTCTGATCTGATCAAGTGTATCAATCAAATGTATATTGTACACGTAGCTTAAGATATCAAGTAAAAGTACGCCGAGGACTGACAAATTTCCTTACACGAACGAACGTAAGACGATCTAAGCGATAAAAGGGATACAATGATCCTCGGAACCAATGACACAGGCCCATAGAAATTTGTTAAATTACTTCTATTAACTATAGAAACAAAATATATATTAATAACGTGGAAAGTAATTAAAACGGATTGGCGTATCTGTTTCTCACATTTCTGGCGGTTTTTTTTATCTCAATAATATTCAATGTCGCAAACGAATATGTAATTCACGGGTCAGTGAATAAGTAAATAACATTTGTCTCTTAATTGCAGAGCGTGACGTGGATTAAAGGCAAAATACGAGCACGAGAAGTGTTATTGTTTGAATAGATTAATGTGAGAATAACAGGCATATGGAAAAACACTAAAGTTAATGGAATGGATTTCACAGACTTTTACGGAACGGTATGTTAAATGTAAAAAAAAAGAAGGAAAAAATAATTATATTTGTCGCTTGATTTCTGTTTTTTTGTAAACGAAATAGAATTATGCTATTTTCGAAAGTTTATTAATTAATATGGTGGCCATGTGATAAAAATGTTATAGTATTGTTTGGGTTAAGAATAATGTTGACATAGGATTTATCAGAAGTCAAACATTTATTCGTACATAATCTTGTAAATGGCAAAATAAGATTGTGTAATAAATAAAAGAAGAGGGAAGATAAAATGAGAATATTTTTCTGTAAGACTTATACTACAATAACGTTATTTATATTTGTATTATTATTGTATAATATTATCTGTTTTTATTATTCATGTTTTAATATTAAGAAAATATATTAACGAAAATTATGCTTAACTTGATGCTTTTCGTTGATTTATTTTGTTAATATTAAATCATGGATAGTACGAATAAATAATATTATGAATATTATCATATTTACAGAAAATATTAGAATATAATTAATTAAACATCTATTATTAGACAGCGTTTAATTATTTTTGCAAAAATATTAAATATTGTACTACTTCTAGTAAGAAATAAGGAGGAGATAAAGATAAACATTTTTCTTAATAATCATCTATAAGATTATTAGTTAATTCTTTAATTTCATTATTCCATTATTTTGGACATACTTTCGTTAAAATAAAAATACGTTCGTAGAATAAATAAAATACACATAGGTGTATAATTTCGTTATTAATTTAATTGATAAATATGGTGCATAAGGTCAATGTCTTGAACATTCGATTCAAGGGAAAATTTCGTACACCTTATCTGCTGCACTGATAAGTAATGAAATTATACATACATACATACTTTTACTTCAAGTCGGTAACTAAAGCAACAATTCTACAATTATGTTATAATGCAAACTTATAATACTAACCGACATTTATAAATTGTATATTGAATTGTAATATGTGAAACGTTAGATTTTGTTATATTAATTTTGTTGTAGTATATATGAAAATTTAATGTTTATAAATATCACATTTTTATTTAATGTGTAACTAAATTCAGTTTGTTTACAGCAAAAATCTTATTTATTTATTTTATTAGTCATTTTGAATACATAAATATACTTCTTTAAAAATCCAAAATAGTAAGATTTATATATGAACATATTAATTTAGTAAAGGTAAGGTAATAAATCATAATACAGAGCATATAATACAAAATTAATATACTATGATTCATTATTACTATTATTACTACCACTACTGTTATAATGGTGATTAAATATATAGATTTTTATGTTTTTTTATTAAATATTGCTTCAAAACTAAGTGCTGAATATTTTCCAAATAAGAATATAGGAGCAAAATTATTTTAAATTAATTTAAATTAAATTATTTTCTATCTCTTATAAAATTGAACTATATTTGAAATAAATTTCATTATATAAACCTTAATCTATAAATAAATGGAATATTTTCTTGAATTTATTTCAGTGTCAAAAACTTTTACCTCAAGAACTATATAGTTTCTAATTCGAAACTAAGTAACGATTTCATACATTAAAATTGCAAGATATTTTATTTAAAATATTACTTATTTTAGATATCAAATCACTTAATATTTTGAAGACGGGTAATAAAAACTTGTGAGAAATGCACCTTCCACTTTCAGAGAAAGATATAATTCTAGCATCCTCAGAGTATGCTAATATGGCCATAGCACTTAAAATGATTATTGAAAGATTACAAAATAATGTACAATGCCTACATAGGCATGAAACTTTTAAAAACAGCTTGTTACCGTGGGTGACAGAGATGCAGGATCGCTTAAAAGAATTTGAGTTGTATGCTAGAGTAAGTTATAGTTCTTATGCCCTATTTACAGAAGTGAATCATTGTTAAATCTACGTTAACTATACTTTTAAATGATGGTAAATAATGATGAATTAATATCATTATTAAAAAAATGAGGGAGAGTTTTATTATGGTAAATAATTAAATTTATATAAATTTGCTTAAAATTATTGTTATTACTTATTACAAATATATCAATAAATAAGTTACATACAAATATTTTCTTATTTATGTTTATTAATTTTAAATTGAAAATCACAATGAAGTCAGAATTGATTGTGTTGCTCTTTTTTTACAAATTGATTATGTAAAATATAACATGAAACATAAAATATTTCAAATTACATAAAAGAACATGTATTTCAAAATATTACAATGATAACCCAGGGAATTTTTCTAAAATAAATTTTTTAAAATACATTAAAATTAAAATCAACTAATTTCTATGAATATTGCATATGTACTTTTAGAAAGTTACCACACTCAGAACATTCTTGGATCCTAGTAACTACCTATACATTTTGCGATCACCTGTGACTAGAAATAAACAACGCAGCAACATACCAGTGTACAATATCACATTTCCAAAGCACGAAGAAAATAAATTATCCTCTGCATTGTATAAAATGAAGAAGAAATTTAAACGAAGATGCACAGGTAAAAACTTAGCTAAAAGTTCTGTCTGTGGAGCAAAGCCAATAGAATATTCATAAGACATTACTTAATGAAAAAAAGTACGTCTAATATTTAATATATTAAAAAATACCACTGGTTCAATAAATATAAATATTTCATACAAGTATAAATGTGAACTATTTCTTTCTACATCTTTTATATACATAATAATATTCAAATCTTTTCCTGTAAAACACTACAGTCCTTAATTGAATTTATAGTCCAATAATTATCAATTACCAGTCCCAAGTAAGAAGAGGAACAAAATGTTATAAAAACATAATTACAATTTTGTTCTAAATTTTTTCATATTCATATTCATATTTTTCATATTCAAATACTATTCCATACAATTATACGTCACTTTATTGTCCGATTTTTTGGAATGTGACAAGATTATATCACATGCTTTGCCAAGAATTATCAAGCTATTTAAGATCTTGAATGTCACCAGAATAAAATAGGCTAGAAGCAACAAAATTATATTGGCTGGTTGAACAGGTGGTGTAATAGTTGTACAAAGAACTCTTCCTATTGCAACTCCTAGAGGAAGGGGAATAAAACCCATCCTACGGGCTACTACATCTGATGGATCAGAGAAGGCGCTCTCCTGCCGAGTTTGAGCCATATCATAGGCTACTTTAATAGTATAATCTCTGTATACTGTTGAATGAAGTTCATTGAAACGAGTTATAAAGGCGTGTTTAACCTATTGTAGAAAGTAATTCGATAAATGAATTAAAAAGACAAGTTTCTTTCTGATGGTTATCTCTGAAAACTATGATAATCTATTTACCCAATCTACAAGGACTTCAGCAGAGAGCAACATTATACAATCTGGCAGAAGCACTGCGAGTCGTTCAGCTTTCCATGCATATTCCTTCATTGTTTGAAGATTTACAGCAAGAAGGAGCATCATTAAATGAAAACGTTCCCTTACGTCTGCACAAGATAGTTGAAAGAGATTGTTCTTGTCAAATTTCTTAAATACAGAACCTTTCAATTCTACAAACTGAAATAGAAGTTCATGCAATAGCATTATTATGTTCCACTGTAGAATGTGTGTTTCTTGATTTTTCTTATTATTTTTATACAAATAACTTTTTTTATTCAATTCTTTTAAAAATGCTCTGTGAAGAGTAACATATTAGTAATGACTTACATTATTAGACATCATTATAGTGAGCAGAGCTTTGTTGCTACTGTTTATAGCAACATTCAAAGTTGTGGCTTGGAAAAGTACCAAAATACTGTGTAATACTATGAAAGTAAATATTGCATAGGAAAATATTAAAATCATTTATATCTCAATATAATGCACTCCATATAATATAACTGAAATATTTTCAATTTTTAGTGATAATAATGCACTATAAAGTTTGAAATGAATTGTAATTACTATTTTGATATTTTCAAGGTTAAAAGGTCTTAAAAAATTTGAGTTATACAATTAATACTTTCAATACTGTAGTTGTAATAGTGCTTTAATTTAAACATTCATTAAAATATAGAAAATTAATATCTTCAGTAATAAACCTAAATCAAAACCTCATAGATTCTAATAAATCTTCCAAAGTAATATTAAATGTAGTACAAAATTTTCTCCTACACCCAATGTTTATAGAAAGGATACAAACATAGGTAAAAGCAAACAATAGATGAGGTAGGATGCCCAAATGTTGAGATCTTGCTTGTGACTTTGATCTAGGCTCTGTAGCTGTCCAGAAAAGGGCATCTATTATATCTTGCCCAAAAGCACTGAATAATTTATCACCGACTTCCAACATATTATAAAATATGTAGAGTTTTATCACAGACTGACTTTTCACCAAATGGTACATCATCGAAGTGTCAACCTTCCATGTAGCTGCCCAACAGCTGATCACCACGATTCCTTTTAAAAGGTCACACATTTCTGCTGGTCTTAGGTATCGCTCTCCAACTCTTAAATCCCTCTTCTTTCTAGACCATAAATTTATTTTATATAGAATAGAATATGTGTAATCAAATTTTAATGTGGTATGAATGAACATTTGGGAGTATTTATGAATAGCTTTTGTCCCTTTTATGATTCATTATTTGTATAAATCTATAAAAAGTGATACTTAGCAATTGACCCAGGCTATATGAGCATAATAAATAAGGCAGATATTTAGGTGATCCCATTTAGCTGAGCCACCTTGTATATTACTTTAACTTTCAATCAATATCAATTTTGTTTTTCTACACACTTTCATATGACTTTATTTTCCTGATATCTGTGGATATTAATATCTTCCTTAGATGTATATATGACAATGTTTTTGTTTAAATATTCTATTGCATATATATGACATTGTCAATCTTGAACATGTTAACCAATATAAATATAAATTTACCCAAGACAGTGCCATAGGGGTCTTGTAATCATTGTCCATAGTGCCATCATGAATCTTAGTGGTAAAAATGTATAAACAAATAGAAAAGAATCTGCACACTGCAACAGAAAATTGTTCTATTATACACTTATCTTTAACACACATACATATATATGACATAGAAGAACATTAATCTTAAATTCATGAAAGCATTAAGATTATGTGAAATACTATAAAAAATAATTAGATTACTTTTACAAACTAAATATTAAACTTATTTAATACTTATAAAGAAACATTCCATATATGCGTACTTGCAAAAATCCATAGGCCATAAATTTTTCAACTTCTTTTGGAATTTTCATAAATGAATAAAGTTTCTCTCTCCTTGCAGAGAAACTTTCCTCATCATTTTCTAACTGATAGCCTCTTGTTAATTCTGTTCGTAGAAATTGTGTAAGAGACACACCTGTAATGACAATGAAAAACATTTACAATATAAAAATTTACAAAAAAAAGAAAAGATTGCTTTTAGAACCTATATTTCTTAAACATTTTTATTCTTCTTAGTAAGCACCATAAGCTCTTAAAGTCTTAGTTCCCTCATTTTATAACACTCTGTACATTATTACGAAAAATTTATAATTTCATGTTAATAAACAATTTACCAAACAAATGACAGTTCAAACAAAATTACCTGGTTTTCTATGCTGATATTCCCCAACGTTTAATTGCGCTTTCATATCTTGAATTTTATTAATATGACTATCCAATTGTTTCGTAGGTTTAATTTTTACGTACGTTTTATCAGTATAACTTCGCCAATTTTCTTCGGTATTCATTTTTGCGTATCTTTTTATTATTATTTCCTAACCTCAAAATTTCTCGTTTCACTATAGGACCGCTTTTAACTTTAAATTTCTCGTCTCCTGTTGATTTATTCCGAATTATTTAAATTACTTCTTTACTTCTAAATCTCGATTCGCCGATTATGTAAAGGATCAAGTTATAATTTTCTTTGCAAAACATTATATAAATTAAAATCGCTCTATATCTATGAACATGAACTAACACGGACGAATAAGAACATTTAGCATAAAAATAATGTCTCTACCTATGGATCGTTTGCGTAAGTGACGTTTATATTGAACTTTTTGCAATATTGACCCTCAAGCGTTTTTTAAAGTGTAAATTGTTTTATATTATTCTTGCATCTTGGATTTATTTTATTTTGTTTTGATTCATCTTATTACATAATGAAGAATTCATCGATAGTACAAATTACTACTACAAAGTAATATATAATATGTCGTATGCTACGTACTATATAATATAATATAATATGTTACTATACCCAAGTACTAATTACTGAATGTAACACGTTTAGTCTGTAATTGAAATATACGTATTAGAAGATACATTATATTGTAAAAATAATTTGATAGCTACAATTTTTAAATAGAAAATAGATATTTATCTAATCTAAATTTATCAGTTTGCTAAATAATATCTTATAACCTTCAAATGTTTAAATATAATTTAATCATTTACTGTATGCTAAGTTTGAATTTGTAATGTAACTCATAATATACTATTACTAATTATAGCTTAATATAAATAATTACTACTTAATAAGTAATGTAATATAAATAAATAATATATATATAAAATATATATATTTATAAAAAATATAAATAAATATTAATGAAATGATAAGTTACAGGATATAGGTTATAAACTCATTTATAATAAATTTCACAACTTCACCTGAAGTAGTTGAAATAGTTGAGATGTAACTTATAAAATTTATATGTATAACATGCTTTATTACTGAATTTACTCTTGTTATGCAAGAGAATTTACTACTGGTACAGTAAATTTATATATGTAGCATAAACATACAGATATATAAAATAATATAGAATATTAATTTGACATTTTGTGATGAGAAGTTTACGTCTCTGAATATCATAGTTTTCTTCTCTACAAGTAAATTACCGCCCATATGTCGTTTGGATTAAGGATTACTGTGCACTCGTTTGCTTAGGCGGCTATAGCTTTTCTTTCGTGTAAAGAGGTTTGCTCGCGTCAGGGATATTTTGTTCGATTTTTAATTGCTAATAACTAAAAAACAAAGCCAAAAACGCAATTTCTTTATTCTTAATTTTCGTCTTATTTCGGCATCAAGAATCACCCCTTAAATTATGAAAAATCTGTAGCCAAATACCCTGTTTATATGAACTTGTGGTAGATATAAAGATTATACATATATAAAATATCGTAAAAATAGTCATCTTTATGCTTCCTATTTATTAATCAATTTCGTTTAATTAAATTAAATATGACACATATTAAATTGCTAATATGTAATTAGTGCAGGTAATTACATTTCAAATCCCTAAATTTTCTTCGTCCAAAATAAACATATTATCACACGTGTGTTTACTTTTCACGTGTATACTTTTCTTTGTTTGGGATATAATATATTCGTTCACTTTATTATTGAAAAAGTAAAAGGTTTCCAGGAATCTTATGACTCCTATTCGTACACAGTTGACTTACCTCACGCCCCGCCTCTTCCATTGAAATTGAGGGGGCAAGCTACACAGCAGTTGTATGTCGAAAATCGAACCGATAAGATGTTTTTATGTCACTCCGCGTCAGGTATCGATTCTTCCAGTACTTCGTACATTCTTTCATGCTTAACTTCGTTTAATTAACGTATGTACGTTCATATTCAATAATTTTTAGCATTCTAATTTATTCTAATCTATTATCTGATCATCTCTTTTTGTTTGCCCGTATTTTTGGTCGTGACATTTGCCGGTAGTTCGTATAATGAGCTTTCAAAACGCAATTTGATTTTGATCATTGTTTTATTTTTATATAATTTATTCTTTTTATACATTTATTTTAAAGCTTTCGTCTTCTTTTGTGCATATTATTGGCCCATGGGATGCATTAGAGTGGATTAGAGAACGTTACAAAATTCGAAAGGGCGCTGTGATCGATGATGAATCCGTTAACTTGTGATGATTTGGTAACATTTGATTTATTTTAATAAAGGCAAGTGTATTTATAAGTTTATCTCTTATGAATCATTGCTAACATTTATTCAAGTATTTAATCAATATCTGCATTTTTAACGAATAATTAACGTTACTAACACTTAATAAGACAAAGTATGCGATAAAAATACGAGTATCAAACTACGTTAAAGAAATCATTTCTTTTTATTTCGAGTATCAATTGGTTTTTTATTTCAAGTAAATCGAACAATTTTTTTTTTCATTGTTTAATACTACTTTAATGTGGATTTTCTAGATTTTGTCATATTTTATGTTTTACTGCCTTTTTCGCCAATTTTCTATAATAATGTCGTCATTTTACTTTTTTCAGGAATTTTTGTGATATTTAATAATAAATATTTAATAATAATAATAAGAACGCTGTCAGAGGCATATTTAAACACATTCTGAGCATCGCATCTTTTTCCTATTGCGCAGTTTTGTTTAACCGTTAAAAAAACACACTATGTTTTATTAGTATGAAGCATATTTGAAACCGTAATGCTGGACATTCAGAGCATATTTTGTACAAATCAATTTTTTGAAATATTGGTAGATATTTGATAATATTAGAAAGTATTGTACAATGCATAATAATATTTTACATTATATATACCACATTATTAACATGATATTCTTCTATCTGTGATAGATTAGTAATAATTAATCAACGATTTTATAAAAACAACGTTTTCTTCAACGAACACTTGATACTCGGTACGAAGAAGGAGAAAACCCCTACCCTTTAAAAACTTTTCTTTTAGAGAATTTCTATGACTACGCGCAATGTGGTCGGTAGAGTCAGTGTTCGCTGCGTTTTATCGTTCCCAATATCTTTTTTCACGAGCTGTCATTAAATTTAATTACAATAATCATACACAAAATTAGAGTCAGTGTGTCCACCAATTGTGATATAAACGGACGCGACTTCTATTTTTGTTTTTTCTTATACATCTTTTTTTGAAACATTTTAAATCGCAAGAGAATAAAGCCTATCCTGAAGTTCAAGAATATAAGTATTTTTGTATATTCCACTATAATTTAATTTATTATTTGTGTTTTAACCAAACTACTAGCAACTTCTTTTAAAATAAGATGTTAAAGATTTAATAATGAAATATACTTTACACGTGTTTTACGTTGTTCACAAATCATTAGGTTCTCAATTTCTACATCTTTAATTCATATCTTAGAGTCGTTAGCTGTTGATTTCCGTCTTATGAGAATTAAAGGTCATGGTCTGGACGTCGTACACGATTTTCTTTTTTTTTTTTTGTAGATCATTTACAATCAATTGTCTTTGAGAATTATAAGTAATTTCTTTTGGCGTGCTCTCCCGATGCTTTCCTGGGATATAGATGACTGATTAATTCTATAACTTGCAGAGATGAGAAGGGTTTAATAGGAGGAGACATCTGGAAGGGCGAGTGCACGTATTCCGTTATTTCGGCGGCAATAGTGGAGGAATACGGTTTGAAGACATTAGTTAGGTGACTTGCAGACAAGTTGGCTTCTTGTATAGGGCTACGCGCCCATCCACCTTGTGGACAGCGAATTGGAGGGATTATTTGCGGAGGACGAGTGAGTTTCCTGGATGCCTTCCATAGTGAGTAGTTGGAGTCAGCTGTGGGAGACAGATTAGCAAGATATTTTTGAAAACAGTCATTTTTGTAATTTTTGAGGATTTTGATTAGTTTTCTTGTTGCGTTATTTAGCTTGCGCTTGTTTCCATGTGTTCTATGACTTTGCCATACTCTTCTAAATCTGCGTTTTTCTGCGATTTTTATTATTATGTAACGAGGGTATTCATGTTTATTGACAAAACATTTAGTAGGGGTGGAAGAACGGATCGCGTTTATTATGCTGGTGTTTAAATATTCCATGGCTGCTTCTATATCTTCATTTGTTTCTAGGCATATTGAGGCTGATGTTGAATGAGATGTTGATGAGAGCTGCCAGTTTGTGAGTTGGTTATGAATAAAGCCATTAGGTTGATTTTCGATAATTGTTGAGTTAATTGTTGCTATGACGCGTGAATGATCTTGAAGAGAGTTCCACAGAAGAGTTGATTTGGATATATCTTGGCGAGATGTTTTTAGTTATAAAGAAGTCTAATAAGTCAGATAGTTTGTTAGTGTCAGTGAGCCAGTAAGAGGGTTCGTTTGTACTGAGGTAATTATGTCTGTTGGCGTTAATGCATTTCAAAAGATTTTTACCTCTTATTGTGATAAGTCTGCTGCCCAATTGCGTATGCTTAGCGGTATAGTCTCCTCCAGTTATGAATCTATTGCCCAGGTCTTCGAGGAATTTATCAAAGTCTTCTTTGGAAATAGAATGTCTAGGAGGGCAATATACTACTGATGTGGATACTTTAAGTCAAAATTATATCCAGAAACCACATAAATCGATACCAAATCATATAATAGAAGTAATAGAAACTAAAGGGGGATGTACCCATTATTAAATAAGTATACATGTTTGATAAGTAATTATGGTTAGTTACAATTTATGTTGATTATTATTTTCCTATTATACATGTGCTATTATTTCGTTCTTAAAATAAAACAATCTTTTTTTTTTGTTACACACTGAACCTCATAATATTCTGAACTCTGAATATTTTGATATTATACGTTACAGACGAAAAACTTTACACGCGTCATTGAGAAATTAAAGATAGCTCACATGGGCCATCTCTTTGACGAGGAGTGTAAACAAAAGGTCGTTGCCTGGCCGCCACATACGAAGGACAAAGGCACCAAGAAGCAGTCATC